AGATTCCAAAATTTTATATATTGACCTGCATTTAAACATAAAATCTATTTTATTTGAATAATGTAAATTATCGTTCAGGAAAGGACATTCGCATTTTACAAGAACAGACGAGCACTTTACTTACTACTTGTTTGCTGGTTTGAATACCAGAAAGTGATTAACAGTATATTATACTCTCTCTCTCTCTCTCTCTGTCGCAGATTTGCGGTAATATACGGGTAACTCTCCGAAATGTTATTTATGTTCACAAGATACTGTTTCAGAACCTCATTCAACGATATGTTCGTGTACAAGGATTTATTTTATAGGAACCTAAATCGACAAGAAACTAACAACATATTGTTATCGTTGGTCACGCTTCGAAGTAGAAGAGCAATAACTTATATGAAATATTTTCGATACGGTTCCTCTTCTGTGAACAAATTCAGTCAAGAGTTGTTCTGTATTGTTATATGGAAATATTATTTAAATACCTATCTTGTTTATTGGATATTTGGTTATATATTCATTGCTTTAGAATTTGAGATGAAAATAATATAAAATCAATCATCAGTGTAATTTCCTTTATTTTTATCCCATTTCCTTCAATCTGCCATGGATTTAGAATATGCCAGTTGACTTTCATGAGCCGCTGTTTGAAATCAAAATTTATGTACTATAAACATGTGGCTAATTTTGAATGCCACATTTTTTTTAATTTCAACAATTTAGAGTAGTTTCATGTCATTTACAATAAAATGTTAGATGTACTTGCTCATGATCAATCGATTTTTCTGTGAAATCATGAAATGTAACTATTACAGTGGAATTGCATTAGTCTGCTCTTTTATTTTATTCCCAATCGTTAAGGGAGCTTTTCTCAAGACCACCTGTAGCAGACAAGCCACAGATGTATTGTGGAGTCTGACGAAACATCTAGAAACTTTTTCTATCTCATTCCTTCCGACTTGCATCATTCAAAGAGGGGAAATCAGGGTATAAATGATGGAACATGAAATGTACGTCAAATACAGGAATTCGCTGTACAAGGTTTTGCACTCTCCAAAATGATATTTCTGATCTATCGGTTTTTATTTTATATAGAGATATATATATATCACAAAAATATATATGCTGATCCAGAATCACCAGTTAAAATGAAATTATTGTTATCATCTGTACGTCTCTTTCTGAAAACCCTCTCTTCATAGCTGTTTATTTAAGTTAAATTTGGTTTTTGATATTCTCATAAAAATACCATTAATTGTGATGTTGAAATCTTTGTTATTCTTAACATGTGAGACTGTTTGTCAAGTAAATAAATAGGAAGAAATGAAAACTGCCTGCTTTCTGCTAAACTGTCAATGTATTCAAGAAAAGTGTAACATTACATGGAAAAACATATTTGTGTTAAAACTTAATACTTAACACCAAAGTGATCACCTTCACACAATATCCCTGTGACGAGAACTGTACTAATCCGAATATGAATTCTGAGTAAAGTATCCAAACTACTCATTTTTTATTAACCAGTTTTCATGGGTTCTCTTTTCTTCGTTTGGCTTAAGAAGAGCTCACAACAATGTTACTCGAGATTCATTTGTTGTTCAAGCTGTCACGTTGTTACCCTGAGGTTGTTCTGAAGACTAGATAATAGTTCTACCCAACCTGGAAATTCCATTCCAAGATTCTACTTTCATGAAAATTTATGATTGAGGAATATGAAATAGGAAGTTGAATCAGATAATACCTCTAGCAAATGTTTATAAAAATACCTGTAGCTAGAGTAAAATAAAAGATATAATATAAATATAACACCTTATAGAGTTTGGCCTTTAAGACGATAATTTCCGAAAATAATTTGGTCCTTTATAATCCTGTTCATGTTTTGAAAGAGAATATTTAAAACCTTCAGAGTAAACTTTGCACGTGAGCAAGCATTTAAATGTTGGGATAGTTATTTAGACGCAGAATATTTTGCTCTTCCTTGTAATGGTTGAATCTTAAGTTTCCGACTTAATAGCAGATCATCTGTGTAACCAATGAAATCTCTTCATGGAACAAAGGAAGTGATCAAGTGATATTCCTATTTAGAAGAGGCTCTCTTGACATCTATCTCACCCCGCAACTTCCTGATTATGGATATTTTAGTCTATTGTCTTTAGTCGGTCGTGTTAACATTAGTGCTTGGAGCTGAAGGGCTGCGTCGGCATCATCGATATTTTGAGGCAATTTTAAACTAAGTCACGTTGCTATCTGGTGGCCTTATACTTCTGAACACTCAACACTCCACATAAATATGATTTTTAGAGGAACATATAAATAACAGTATGATATACTGCAATATACAAATGCCACAGTGGTAAAATCATAATTGAAGAATGAAGGTAAACCAAGTCTCAACGATCTTCGAAATAAGCTGACCACAATGCCAAGTAAAAATCAGTTTGATTCAGCTTTTTGCGATTCTCTGAAATCATACATCTCAAGAATACAGGCTGTGGTGTAGGCAGATGTTGAATACTACAATAGAAACCTTCATAAATTCCAGTCATAAGTCTATCTTAGCTTTCGCTATGACAAATAGGGCACTAATTGGGAAAACCCTGTATATATCGGATGACCCAGATAACACTTTTATGGCCATAAAATTTTAACCTCACAATTATAGATCTATTGGACATTTTTTTTTACGATTAAAAAGCTCGCATGCTGGCATACGTTTACTGCGGAGAAACTATTGCCGATGAGGAACACCGTTCAACCATTCGCTTAATAGTTGGAAACATGACCCAAATTAGTAGGCGATTTTCACTTGTAGATAATGATACAAAATAGAATTTAAAAATTTTTAATTTAAAGGTCCATTCTGAAAAAGCTTATGATTTTGTTTTGGATAAGGGAAATATGGTTTACTAGGTTAGTATCGACATCAATCTTACTAGAAAATTTCATATCCGAGAAATATCATAATTAATATTGGCGGCAGATTTACCCACAGGCAGTACTTAGTATACTTATGTAAAAATAATTAAAGTTGGATTCCTCTCAAAGTACTCAAATTTTTAAACCACAAAATATGGCAGAGTCAAACTGTTCTAAAATATTACATTATACATTGTCCTGCATATGGGACCATGCTTTATGTCTATCAGTGTCTTCAAATAGTCAATGTTCCCTTTCTCTTAAATTGTGGAAAAAAGAGAATTTCTTTTCTTTGCCCTCTCTGTTTGGGAGGTTTGGTTATTAATGTCTTCATTGGCCAGAATGGTGCAGAAAAGAAGGACGTAAAACTCCATTCATTTCATATTAATGTCTATGGAATGCCCAGTTTTTCTGTTTACATGGCATGAAGTCGTGTCAAAAGATAAATGGTAATTTAATATATAAGTTCATCTACAAGTCTGCTAATTAATTACGTGTAGTTGATTATAAAACCACCGAAAAACCTATAAAAACACAATGTATCATCGAGTACAGGAAGGAAATACCACATTAATATAGCTTGAAGGCATTAGGTAGACTGCAATAGTCTGTGTTTTCATCTTACTAATGGAACAATACTAATCAAAACAGAATATGCTTAAAACCTCTCATTAGTTTTGTGTCAAGTGTCTGTGATAGAGCTTCTACTAATTAGTGTGGGGGTTTTGAGACTGAACTAAAGTAGACATAACATGTTACGGTTATACTATTTGAAAGGCTTTGTGGCTTTTAGCTAAATGCATGCCAAAACCTATGCTGATTTTTGATATTTGGTATTGGTGCACGAGCAGAACAAAGAAAACACATTATGAAAGAAACAATATTTTGTATTCACACGAACGTGTGGACAAAAACTAATATGTGTAATTTTTAATCGGACATTGACCTTGTGGATCCAATGTTGCAAATTTGAAACCCCAAAACTCAGCAACCATAACAACATCTAAAAGCAGCTATTTTGATAGCTGTTATCGTAAAACCTGAAAAAGGGCGGGCAATTAACAATATTATATTGAAAGTGCCTTTAATTAACTAATGATATTAGTGGTCTCTCAAATCCTGTTGCTCGCGAATTTTATCTTCAGCCAGGCTTAAAATGATTCGCCTTAAACTTGACCAGTTGTAAAATAATTAATTAGTTTTGACGTTACCTTCACCCATTTTCCAAGGTAAAAAAACTGACGATTAGTTGTAACAGGTGTGTTTTGCTACCTGTTGATAATGTGCAAAACCAATTTTCTGATAAATAAATACTTAACCACATGCTTTGATTGTAATGTACAGATAACTTTTCATTGAGATTTCTCAAAACATTATAAACACAAAATTGTTCTTATATTTAAAGCGGCACTATTGCCAGGAAAATAGGACACGGTAAATATACGTTGAAAACTTCAAGGAAATAGGTTTAAAGAACTCATTTGCCCTTGGTTGTGTAAAACGCTTCAAATTGTCCCAAAATTTTATCCACTCGTGATGAAACTTGGTATGTATGTGTTTATTGATAAGATCTCGCCTAAGCCTTAATCTTGAAATAATTCAGACCGTGTTTTAGTTATTGCTTTAAGCCTGAGAAAAACGTGTAATTTGGCAAATGAACGATAAAGGCTACAGTTTTTAACCGGTCAAGTCCCAGCCAAGCAGTAACGATTTTCAGATAAATGGAGTTATTCTCTTTGATAAAAAAAAACGTAAAATTAGGCTTCTCAGCCTATGGAAACTATAGTTGTTGCATAGGCATGTTCATGATATCTTAGAAAAGATCGAAACTGACAAAGTTACTCTAGATTTATTCAAAATTATTTGGTATATTTGAGTTATTGCTATCTATGTAGAAAGAATAAAATATTATTATTTCATCAACATTGAGCGAAAAAATGCATTATTAAGTTCTTTAATACGAGAAATTGTGTATATTATTTTAAAAAGACACTGTTATCATGACATTTGCTACCTTGTCGGTAAGCAATCATCTACTTATAGTAGAATTTTACAAGTTACAAACGAATTAAATAAAATGATTGTATTTTTCAGGAATATATTGCAACGGAACATGGGATACATGGCTGTGTTGGCCACCAACAAAAGGTGGTATGAAAGTGAAATTACCATGTCCAGACCGTCCTGGGCTCATTCCAACAAGTATGTATATTATTGATAAAAATCTTTACCAATACATATGACATATATCATTTTGCAGAATAGCTATAAGCAAACCATATCAAAGCCCTATATAAGTATATAATACAGGGCTTTGAACCATATTAGAAATACATTAGCAAATCATAGTCGATTTGGGTCGTTGGCACGTATATCAAACTGTCATATAACACAAAGAAAAACGTTTAATTTGTATGACGATTAACTGTATTTATTATATGAAATGATTGTTTGGACCGTTTATCATACAGAATATGATTAATACTAGACAGAATTATAGAATGATCAGTTTAGTTTTTATCACCTGAGATATACACCAGACGTAATCAATGACTGCCAGACAGAATTGGACTGCCAGACAGAATTATTGAATGATCAGTTTAGTTTTTATCCCCCGAGATATACACCATATATAATCATTGACTGCCAGACAGAATTATAGAATAATCAGTTTAGTTTTATCACCTGCGACATACACCAGACAGAATTATTGAATGACCAGTTTAGTTTTTATCACCCGAGATATACACCAGACATAATCATTGACTGCCAGACAGAATTGTACTGCCAGACAGAATTATTGAATGATCAGTTTAGTTTATATCCCCCGAGATATACACCATATATAATCATTGACTGCCAGACAGAATTATAGAATGATCAGTTTAGTTTTTATCACATGGGACATACACCATATGTAATCATTGAGTAATTGGTTTAGTTTTTATCACCTGATAGATACACCAGACAGATTCATTGAATGACCAGTTTAGTTTTAACAATCAGGACAAACACCAGACAGAATTATTGAATAATCAGTTTTATCACCCGAGACATACACAAGACAGATTTATGGATTGATTTGTTTTTTTTCACCAATTGAGACATACACCAGACAGATTCATTGAATGAAATCTGAAGCAGAATTAATGCATGAATTGTTCAGTTTTCATCAACAAGGACATACACCAGACAGAATGATTGAATAATCATTGAGTGGACATTCACCAAATAGGATTATTGACGCAAAAAGGCAGACAATCTTGGAACTTAACTTCAATCTAAAATAGAAATTCTCAGACAGAAAATGTCATTATTTAATTGATCTTAACGGTATCATATCATAAACTAAAAGTACGTTCATGCTGGCTATACCATAATTTGTAATAGAATCTTCATGCAAAACAACCATCACACGTCTTCTTACAAATACAGTATATTGAGTGGCTCAGAAAAAAAAAGATAGCACTTTTGATTTCAGGATTTTTCTTGAAGTATCAAAGCTATGATCATAGTATTTTGACCTCATATTTTTGGGGATATTAAACATCTGATAACTAAATGCCAGCTTTTTTAAGTTGAACAACTGGAATACCAGTTTTTTTTTAAAATTCCTGGTAAAAATATTTAATGCCGAAAATAATGATTATAATTTCACATCTTTAGTGGAATTAATGCTCAATATAGCCACCATTTCAACAAAAAAATCGTCTTTATCCATGACAAGATATTGCCTGTCCAGTTTGTTCAAGAGGTATTTTGTTCCATTTCTCTCTATTTATATTTCTCGGTTGTTTTTTCTGTCAGCTAGAGAAAACAGACTGTAAACCATTTGATCAGGAGTTTAAGGGTTGCCATTCATCCTTTGTTTGAAATTTTAATATTCAGAAGGCAATTTTGGGGGGTTTGTTTTTGCATAAATATCGTCTTCAATGGACATTAGTTCAATGAAAGAGGAGAAATTTACTCTTGGCATAATATTGTTTGACAAAGGATTTAAAAAATAACATTAAAAAATGGTTTAACATAAAATACTGTAATATTCTAATATACAATAGACAGTATTGGAATGCAAGGTGCTAACAATCAAAAACATTAGAACTGAAATGACAAGATTGATTGCGGTCTGAAATGCGACAAAATATTATACATCATTCAAGGCAAGGCCGAGTCACGAAACATATAAAATGATTGACAAAACAAAAGCCAAGACAACATGCATTTTGTACCGAAGCAAGTAAAGTGTAAAATTTAATTAAACATTTAATCATAATCCAATGCCAAAATATCCTGGATCTTAAAGAATTCAATATCTACAAAAACTGCTGGATCTGAAGGAAATTGTTCTTATATCATTCTGATATTGTTCGCAGGTCTTTTGACTTGACTGATTCCCATCTCAATTATTTTGGGATTAATATGCCAATACACGCCAGTGGAAACAATTGAAAATATCTATATTTATCTGTAAAGTACATAACCTAACCTATTTGTTTATAATCCCCCCGGCTATGTCTCTCATCTTATAACCTTACTTTTTCAGATTTTGCCCATCGGACATGTGGACCAATGGGAAAGTGGGAGGGAAGAACGAAAAATGATTACAGCATGGAAAATGGTTATTCCAATTATATGGATTGTTATACAGAAGAGGCTAAAGAAATATATTATAAATATTTTGCCAACAAATCCGACGCACAGAAGCAGGTTAGTGGGGTATCTATTTTCAGTCAGTAGGCGAAAGTCGGACATTTATGAAAATACCTCATTATTCCAGTCAATCCTTTGGTAAAAGGGTATAGAAATGCTTTTAGGCATTTAAGTAAATGTACTAAAACTGGTATTTTTGTTAATCTACTTTCTTTCCCTTTTCTAATTTCCAAAATATTTGTGAGTTTTTTTTTATCTTTGTAATTTTTTTTAAATCAAAACAATTATCATTTGTTTAAAAAAATTAATAAATTAACCTAATCATGTTAGAAAAAAAGTCAATTTATGGAACACCGAAAAACAACCTCTTTCATGTTTCTTATTTTATCCCTTTGTTTTCGAACACAAAATAGAAACAACTGTATCTACGTCTAATATGGTAAAGCATTGCCTCCCCGAAAAATCAATTAACGCTGGGTTTTTAAATTAAACATCGGACATGATTTTTTATGTTATAAATAATAGCGCACTAGCAATTCATATAAAACCATTATAGTGGGCATGTATTTTATATTTTATTTCCGAGTTAGTAGCATTTTACTTCAACACAAATAGGTTTCAAATGCGTATTAAATACCACTTGTGAGTTTGTCAATACTGACATATGTTTTCATATTTGATATCTCATTATTGAACCTTGATCCTTAAAGTGTCTTTGTGTTATTGATTTGTCCAAAGATTAGTGAAAAAATATAAACAAGAACATTCGGAACCGGTTTGATAGCATGGCTTCACTTTGAGAAATATAACATCTGAAAGACAAACCTAAATATGTACAGGGCGTTTGGATTGTTTTAAGGTCCACGAATGTCGACATCAATAGATAGGTTTCAAACTGTAGACTGCATGAATTCGAAGTTGATTATAATGACTTACCGCTCAGGTTTGTGACCCTAATTATAGGGACAGAAGATAGTAGATCACGGAAGGACATGTATTTATTGAGATATTGTGACTATAAATCATTAGTTAATTATAAGATATCAAACATATGATGGTATATCATACATAACTCTATCCCAATTCATACTTTCTAATACGAACGAAACTAAGTTACTTGTAAAGTTGTATTGTGTGGTATAAATATATGTAGTATGTAAAATGCAAAAATATTTATACTAATACTGCTTGCTAGAATACTAGACACGAATTCATGGGACTGCATGCATATAAAAAGCAACAACGACGGTTTTTTCTGAGTGCCCAGCGTTTTCCTTGACCATCTATATTCTAATAGCCAACCTATGATCAGTTGACCTCAAAAATACAAATCATATTAATTACATATACATAACTGTGATAGTAATCTAAATAGGCTTAAAAGATTATCGTTGTCTTATTATTGGAGTGGTCTGATTTTCTGAATTTGTAAAGTCCAGTATCGTGTATCAGTTGTGACGTCGCTCATAAGGCATGATCTAATCCTGAAGTGTAATCGAGCACTTTCAATACATGAAAAATGTACCATGGGTCAGAAAAATTAGACAATGACTTAAAATTATTTTGATTGCTTCATATAACAACCTAATATTAGTGTGTATATCAAAACAAATCGGGTCACCAGCATCCTGACAGAAAATAAGACACCCAGATTGTAACCTACCTTTATCAAATTATCTAGATTGATTTTAAGACGGAACTTGCTTGTCAATGCCTGTCAAGATTGACTGGTGACAGAAGATATTTATATTGAAATAAGTACTGGCTATACGTTATTGATATCCAGCTAGTTACGTCCTTGTCATAAAAGTTCATGGTCGTTTTAGGTATAGAATTCTACGATTATATGTCATGATCGCAAAGACCATGAAGGGTCACCCCATTGAATCAAGTTGCATGTCACTGTAAACAATCTCCACTGTGGAAAATATGATAGATTCTTTTAGAGTCTGATATGTTAAATGTTAACATACGAAATATGGTAATTTTTGAATTATGTCGCTTTTCTTTAAAATAGAATAAAATTTCCAGCGATTTCAGAAAAATTTCATAATGTAAGCCAAAATGTCAAAAAAATCAAAAAGTTTTTTGAATAACAAAATATGGTATCTTGAAGTAATCTGCATCCATGGGTTTTAAGGATGGGCGTTATGATTGTGATACATTTTCCATTTTCGTCTGCCAGGCACGAAGATACCAACTCCTAGTTGAGGCAATAGAATATATGATGCCAAGTCCTATCTAAGTACATATATGATGCAACTACCCTTTAGAGTATCAACTCATAGCTGCCTCCACCTTTCAAGCCGAAAACCTGTGTCACATATGCAGCTCGAAGTTACATTAGAATATATGGAATGCCAAATATAGTAGATGGATGCCAAGAAAAACCAAAATAAGTAGTCACGAAACATACCTCAACAGTACAAATCGTGTCACGAAAGTATCAGGTCAGCAAAGAGTTCGTGTGGAAAGAATCAAATGGGATTGATCCTGAGGAAGGATAATAAAATCATGAAGTAAAAATTAGAATTATTTGTGGTTCTTGGGATCAATATCATGTACTTGTACCGGTATATATACTTGTTGTAAATTCCATCGTATTGAAATAGATAATAGGATTATAATTCCCAGATTTAGTTTTAATGATTCAGATTATTTTAAATCAAAGAAGAATGGGTATGTGTCGTCACGATGTCATTGCCATTCACTTAACTCGTATTTTAAAGGATGAAATGTAAAATGTAGTTTGAAATGAGCTATTCCTTCGCAATTCTGTTCAAATTAATCCACTGTTGCCCATGTCTCAAAAGCAACTGTGTTGTTAATATTTCACCTTCGACTAGTGGGATCTATCTCACAATGGTCATGGCAGAAATTGTTCTATCCATAAATATCGCTTAATGATTAATATTGTATGTGTGTGGGCCGCAGTATTACTCTTGATATTTTGTCTATGCCATTAGATAACAATATTAAGATTAATATACATTATTATCGTCCAATTATTGTAGAAAATGATAATTATAACGATAATAAGGTATATGAACGTACTGATAAACATAATTTCAATTATGTAATAATCAGATGAATCTGCATTTCATAATAAGGTCGTACTTGATTAGTTACCTGAAATGAAGATTCTTTGGTCATTGGTGTGGTGTGATAATTTAAAATAACGTTTCAACCCCAGATTTGTCTGAAACAATGACCCCTTAAGCTGCCCTCAGAACGTGGCGACATGTTTTTTTTTCAATGTCCATTGGCTCCTACCATTGTAGTCCCGATGCTCTATTGTTTTGGATTTCGGTTTAGCTCTGCAGTTCGGATCGTTAGTACATAATCTTGCATGATCGCTTAATCGCAATAGTTTCTATATGAATTTGTAGGAAGTCATCCTTTAAGGTGAAGAAAGTAAGATCTGATAGACATCATTATAATCTGTATTTCATAAAGAAATAATTCCTTATGAAACAACATAGCGTTAAGAATGATAGTTTCTCCGAAGGAATTGCGACAATACATAAAAACGTGAATGAATTATTTAGCATGATAAGTCTTGACAATTATATTTCCTTGATAATGATGAACGGTTTACAACCCAGCTCTCTGGAATAATAAGGAAATGCAATTTACCCAAGGTCATAAATATGATATTTGCTCATCTGAATTCCATCATTTTCCTGAAGGCATTCCAATTAACTAACCATCATGATTCTAATGAGCGAATATAACATTATCTTACCATGAAAGTCATATTATGTAATACCCCCACCAAGACTTTCTTGGGGGCTGAGGCGAAAATGAATGAAAATGAAATGATCGAGTACTACCAGGACCAAAATAATACAAGGTGAAATGGTGGAATACGATTTGTTCTAACTACCTTCACACTTGTTTTTTTCCATACCTTGTATGTGTCATGTTAATTATGAACAATTCCGTACTAAGACGATTTTTTATTGAAACATTTTCTGTTATTAAAATTATATGATAACCATTCCCGTATAAAGCTTTATGAGGTATTGAAATTTTATCATGGTTCAAATAATGGAACTGTCGAATATTAAGGATATCATCAATTTCTTGAAGATTTCCATCAAGTATACTCTTGATGAGATTATAACTAAAATATCTTCTTGGGAAAGTCTTTCGGTACTTTTTGAAAGGGTAGAGCGATATCAATCATATTATAGCTTCCAGAACATTATAACAGAGATGGCGAAAATTTCTTTCCAACTTTTATATAATTTTCCAAAGTACAACGATGTAAGAATTCCAAGAGATGAATTAGAATCAGTGCCCCTGAATCTAGTTAATGTTGTTATTGTTAAGGTTCTGACTAGGTTATCAAATAAATAACTAATGAGTTAAGTTGTGTGCATGTTTTATTTTATGTTTTCGTTTTTTTAAAACGAGATGATTTAGGGTATACGATTCTAAACGTTTGTATTATTTTCAAGCTAATAATTTCCACCATATATCTATAAAGCATATAAATGAGAAAATAAGAGTATTTAGCAAACAAAGACGAACAATATTATGTATGTTGTATGTTTAAAGTGACATTTATGAAATACATGGTACTTGGATTATGAAGCGAATATGTACATTATTGTAATTATTATGTAACTTATTCTGTCGTCGATTTTGCATCTAAAGATAGAAAATTGCGTGACAGATGTTCCATTTTGTGTAAAGTAATACACATTGACCCGTTTGTCCATTTGGCAAGTGTCCAGTATGTATGCGTCTCTTAAATGAGTGTAATATCGTCCAATTGTGAGATAATTACGCGTATCAGAGTAACACGACTTGCCCATTAATCATGTTGTCTGCACTGTAGTTCAGTACTTTTAATATGATATGATATGATATATGACACTATTTAGATACAATTATAAAGTATACTGTTGGTACTATTGTCCATTAATCTTTTTTCCTGACCAACCCGCGATAGTGGCATTTAGTTCTGCTCACATGGAAATGAATGGAAGTTACTACAGACAAAGGACACGGCATTGCTGCGGCAAAGATTGATAAATAAATATTTTAAAGATTATATGAAAATTCTTTATTTAGCCACTTAGTTATAATTTCTGACAGTTTGTAGTGGACGTATGTTACATTGCCTGGCAAGCTATCTTGATATATTTCAGTTACTGTATGATATAGTTAGCAGTACCAGAACTTTAGAAATATGTGGTTTAGCTTTATCTATGGTGACAACATTTATATCTTTAATTATATTTATGTACTTTAGGCAAGTATGATTTTTATACGCCCATGTCCATCCGTCCGTTCCAATTGCTCGTAAACACTCTAGAGGGCACAATTATTGACTGATCTTGACGAAACTTAGTATGAGTGTTTGTAATCACTCAAGAATAAACTTCATTGAAAATCAGAAGAATCAAAAAAATTTAGTATATGAGTTATTGCCCTTGTGTTTGAAAACGCGTTCAATTTGAGTCAACACTCTAGAAGGCACAATACTTGACAGATTTTGACAATCGTGTCGTGAGTGTTTGTTATCGCCCATGGATGAACCCTATTGGAAATCGAAAAACGTTTTATAGCAGATATTGACCTTTTCTTGAAAACACTTTTTTAGCCTTTTTAGCTTGAAAACACTGAAAGGTACCATTCTTGTCGGATTTTGACAAAACTTTGTAATACATTTCAGTATCGCCCCACAAAGGACAAAAGACGTGTATGACTGAAGGTTGAATATTTGATACTGGTGATTAGTACTGTACTGCCAAATATTTTTATTTAAAATCAAAGCTATTTTATTTTGAATTTGTTAAATGGTTTACATCTTACTGTTCTATATATAGGGTGTACGTAAGAAAAGAAAATAATACTCCGTGGATCATTGAGCTAAAGAAATGTGGCGTTTAATAATTATAATTGATGTATTCTATTGAGAACATGCAACAAATGTCAAACATAACATTTACCGTTTTAAACTTTATAAATAGTAGTACCCAATTTAAACGCCACTTTTTACAATTTAAATAGATTTAAAAAAAATGAAATGTGAACCGGCATTCGTGCACAGAAAAATTGGATTTATATGGATTTTATAATTTTTCCCTCACACAACATGTAAACATGCAGTTTTTTTTTTAATAAAAATCATTATTTCACAGTTCTTTTTGATATGCAACTTTGTAAAAGAAAAATGCTGATTGAAACCGGATATATAATTTGAACTGACATGTGACCTTAAATATTTTTATATAAAGGATATAAAAGATTTTTATTTCATAGTATTACAGTTTAACAATCGACCGAAACAAAAAAGGATTGGCTTCACGTCTTGAAAATATATTTTATCTGCATCATTCACCCATTTACCAAGTCTCGATTTTCCACATACGACAGCTAAAACGAATACGGGATCGTGTTGAATCAGCAATTACATTCTTGATCACTCGAGATTGCAAAGATCAGCTTTTGTATTTGGTGAGAATGAACAAAAACGTTTATTTTCATTCGTTAATTTACTCTGATTGAAGTCCAAGACATTGAAACAAATCAGTGACTTTACATATATATATATATAAACTATCAGACGCATTACTATTGTTTGATGACAGGCGATTCAGTGTATTGTATGAGGCAAATAAAAATGTTTTCAAATGGACATAGTTTTTTTTTTATAAAAATAGTATGTTAATTAAAAATATTTTAACTGTATCAGTATTCATAACACGATCTCAGAACGTCCTGAAAGTCGAGTAATGCCATATAAACGGCTATAAATTATACCACCCAGAAGTTTATAGCATTATTACAAGGAAAATGAAGGTACTTAATGCTGCTTTTCGTGACCGTTCTCGTTTTAAACCCACCGTATTATAATATTGTAGTTCCAATAATCTAGATTATTAATCTTCAGTCAAAATCATATAAAATATAGGTTTAGACAAGGAATTGCTTAAATCGTCTACATTTAAAAGGAATCTTCCTTTGTGAAAGTATATAGGGTAATTATATCCGATAAGACTAAAAAGAAAAACCTTACTTCCACTCTTAATGCCCCAATTCATTCTGATCAAATGTTGTTTCATTAGCATTATTTTATTATACAAAATATAATTTATATCAATGACATTGTCGCGATAGATACCCGGAATAAGGCGGACATCTTTCAATCGTGACATCACGGAATAATAATTCCTATTAATACGGTTTTGACTTACTTATTTGACTTTTTATGATGTATATTTAGCTCTATAGATAAAATCTACTCATTGACAACACGTGCAATGTCTATATCATTACATGTGGTCCAAAAAAGAATTGTTTTGTTATTTAACGAACATTTTCCACTCAGGAAATTAATTTCAAGGTTTCGTGTTATTCTGAAATGGATTCCCAAATAATATTTACAGCACTTTTAAAAGTCGGTTCTTTTTACTTAAAATCCTAAGAAGAAGTGAATGTTGACAGCAGACTATAAAGGGTTAATTTGTATCAATTGTCAATGGGCAATTCAATGTTTAGAGAAGTCGGTCATAAAATGGCGATATTGAAATTCCTAAATAAATTTCAAAACCTTTTCTTTGACATTTCTTGACAATTTCAAAGTTCAAGTTTTTTTCTCCAAAACTGACAACGGAAGTTGATTGAGCCATTTAGATTGATTAACAGAAGGTCATGTGTAAGCGTCATAACTTTTTTGATTGTTCAGAAGATATTTAAGTTGCCAACGATCTCGTCTAATTTGACTCATATTTTTATATGATGCACTCGTTATGTTGTCATAATCTAATATTTTTCCTATTTCTCGAGTTCTTTGCTTTATATTTACTTTATCTTGCCAATAATGTAATTTTGATTTCCTGCTGTTCAGAAATTAGTTTGATTAGTTGACAATTTTTTTAAAGTCGGTCACGGAATAATGTCATAATCAACGATTTTTCATTTCCCTTTCAGAAGCTTGAAGTGTAATCGAACGAGGATTCATAAGAATCTATTTGTGTCTATATTGGTTCAGGTTTTGATTGAATTGATCCAGTATGTCGATCAGGAAATTGCACGATCCAGTCTTGGTGAAAATGATGATAATTCTATATCTAACACAGTAGGTATACATTTTACGTTAAGTCAATGGTTTAACTGCATGTAGGAATCGACTGGTTTTAGGTTCATGGAATATGTGTTTCCAGTGATTTGAAAATAACCATGTACTTCTTCCATAACCACAGAACACGTTAGTGACAAGTCAGTCCAAGAATGCTAAGACATTCAATGAATAAACCGTATTGCTACAAACGGTTTGAAGTCCAATAAAAATGTCGAAACGATGACGGTATGTCTAGTATGAAAGTCGTCTTCAGATGCCAAAACAATATACTAAACTGTCAGAGCTCATTTCCAATATATTGTTGTAAAAGTTAATGTTCACAGACGAAACATTAGTATATGTCGTCTTCGATTTCCTTGTAAAACAATTAAAGCTTATTTAAAGTTCTTATGAATTCATCGTGTCGATTCTATTAATTGAATTGGTTTTACGTATATTTCAACTTAGTCAGACTCCTTGTTTTCAGATGACCTGACCTGTAGAAAGTACAATTCAATTCTGGTACATTAAATGAAATGAATGGAGTTTTACGTCCTACTTTTCAGCACCATGTGGGCTAATGAAAACGCCATGCAAGGTGCAATGAGGGAAATTATGCCAGGACAGCGGAATTAGCCTGCTCTTTTTCGATTTCCAACTGTCGTGGGATCTTTAACGTGCACACGGGGCCTTGGTTTATTGTCCTATCCGAACGACTAGACGCTTTTTTCCATGTCAGCACCTCTTACCTGCATCACTGACTGAAGGTATCATCTCGACCTATGCCGGGATTGAACCCTGGACCCTCAGGTTAGCAAGCAAGCGTCTAACACACTGAGCCACCACGGCTCCCTGGTACATTAAAATAGCGTTTGATAGTTCAATTAAGTTAAAGAAGATAGGTTAAAGATTTGAATCAGTTTTGGCGCTTTAGAGCATGTGGTTACAAACATAAATCTTTAAGAAAATGTACACTTGTATTGTATTGATGACTTGCGATCAAAGGTTTCTAAGAGCATGCGATCTGTGTACGAGCCTTGAAAGCAATAGTCACAACTTTGAGAAGAATTTGAACTGAATTTTAGACTATAATGAAAACCTTTTACTGTTTAAATTCAATGGTGTATAAAAAAGAAAACATTAAATTCCATTGCAATTTCACTTAAACGTAAGAAGCAACTTAGTAAGTTTAAGTGCAATCTCATTTGTTGCCTTTCCAAATTATCCTGAAAACACAATAAACTGGCATCTGGCATACTTCATAATTTCATAGACAAGTTAGAACATACTAATATGTCACCACAATCTAGGTTTCTAGTGCTTTCCTTATTTAACTTGATTTAGCATGTCGGTAATTTCATCAATATATCAAAGACGTAGATTATGTTCTTTTAAGATTTTCTAGTCTTGGTCGCTCCTATAACACTCACCTATAATAAACTCTTATATGCCTTTAGCTATAGGAAATGCAATTATTTTACGTTTATTTTTATTTTAAATATATATATATATATATATATTCTGTCTAATGCTTTCTTTCAAGTATCAAATGAAACGGAAAAAGCTTGCTCCAGCATTTGCATACATGGTACTGCTTTAAGGTACACATGTAATAAAATAGTTGTTGGAAGAGATATCATTTCTAATTCAAAGACAAACTCTATATCCTAATAAATATTCCATGACTTTGTCTTCGATATGGAAGGCTGATAAGAAGGATCTTAATCTTAATTCTGCTGTTTTATTATTTCAGCCAGTATTCTGTGAAGTAGTGTACGCTTTAATAGAATATACCAAAACAGTCAAATTTATGTGGATGTTTATAGAAGGATTTTATTTACATAATTTAATAGTAGTCTCAGTTTTTACTGGTAGACCATCCTATCCATTATATTATTTTTTAGGATGGGGTAAGAAATCTTCATATATCAGGTCCATAAGTGCAAACATAGGGTTGAAATTACAATGAGAATCATGGTATCTGACTTCATGTTTTATGTCTTACTACTACTAAAATATACAAATTTCATCTTAGAGATTAAGAAATTGTACCTTTTATATTGCCCAATTTGTTTTCCCATGTATTATTATCCACGTATTTCATATTTCAGGAGTTCCCATGGTATTAACAATAGCCTGGGTGATACCTATGACACAAACACAACATGACAGGTAAGCAAGATTAAAGTTAAACCGTACAGCAGGGAAAATTTGCTCCAAAAATATCTTTTATAGCATATCCCTTGTGTCGCCGACACAACACGTCATCTGACATGCAAAGCAAAATGATAATTCTGTATGATTTGACATCTGAAGGCATGTCCTTAATATTTAATGTAATTAAAAAAAATATACAAAATGCCAGTATTGACCGATGTCACGACCCTTGTCGTAGTCTACAAAATATATCAACATTTAAAGCACATTCAAGCCAACAATATTGATTCCTATTTTTACTCACCATGTGTTCTAATGGTAAATTAAGGAGACCTGCATGAATTTATAAATACGCAAGGACTTGGCGCATATTAATATTATAACCATAGTGCATGAAATAATGGAATCAGGTATATGGCCCATACACGTTCAATAAAACCATCAATATATTGAGTCAATATATTGACGGGTCAAAAATTTATTTAGATTTTTATTGACGCCTCATCGTCCGTGTGTAGAGAATCTGTCAATATATTGCATCAATATTTTCAGAATTTCAATGAACAATCACAAGTTTTTTTGGCATTATAGACGGAAATATTGAATCGTGTGTTGGCATTTTCTGTCAATAGTATTGATGTCAATATATTGACTATTTGATACGTACAATGCAAATTTGTACGTGCAATATTCTCCCGACTGCCCTTAAGTTAAAGCACGTTATCAAAATTTAAGATCACAGCCACCAGTTCGCTTACTAGACCTGTCAAATGACCTTGAATCAGTACCTTTCGGTGCAATGAACTATAATGACGCATGACAACATGTTGCTAGATAATAGTTGTTATTTTCCGCTCATTGATTAATAATATAATGTCTCCAATTGGTAATTACTTGTAGCAATTAGTGAACAATTAGCTCGTCCATTAATTAATTATAGGTTTGTGAAAATACACTGAACTCTAGTTATATATTTTCATATTTCACTGACAAGTTGAAAGTTTTGGTATACCAGATCATTACAATATTTTACAGCTATATTTTGTTCTTTTTTTTGTGCACCGAATATATATCATCCTGTCCATATTTGTCTCCAGGACTTGCAATTTCTAATCCCAGAGGCTGACACGCCAGTAACTTTTAAACAAGTATCCGTAGGCAAACTTCAATGCAAAAACAAACCTTGCGCTATCCGCTTTTTGCTATGTTTTTTCCTTTCCAATACCGTGCTGAACAGACAGAAACCTGTGAGTAGAGAACAGGTTTCCGAAAGTAAAGTACCATTGTCATTTAATTAACCTAGAAACGCAGCCAATCCTTCTGACTACTAGTCACCTCAATGTAAGAATCAAATTAAATTGTCTTGGAGACATTATCAAATTTGACAATCCATTTAGTCTCAAGTCCCAATTCAGACACTGTAATAAAGAAGTCAATACTATTGAGATCCTCTTGTTACAATTATTTAGTCATGTTTTTGTTTACAGTGTTGGTTTGCATTTAAAGTGATATTAATTTATTTATTGTGGACGTGTATGACAATGGGGTCATGTACTTCATTCGAGTCCCTTCGATCTGCCTTTTTACATAGAAAGAGTAAAATATGCAGATTTGCCCTTTTATAGAGTTGTGCTTTTCTAATGAAATTTCCGCTTTTCGGAAATAATTTTCTATTCAAGCAATGTTCTTGAAACGATATAATTCTTGCAGGAGCGTATCTTGAAAATGACTGAGGTAGGGGCCAAAATTAATGAGAAGCGAACTGAGGCCTAAAGCTGCCTGAAACACCTTGAAGCCAACGGATGTCAGATGTTATGATATGAATTTTAAACATTTAATAGGGCTTAATATTCACTTCGAATCAAGACAGTTCATAGGGGTTACCTGCAGGGGTTTAGGTTTGTCTAAGCCGAGGTTTTCTAGGACTATTATTGAAAATGTTATCATAAGCATTATCAAACATCATTTTAAAAATTGATTTCATCTATGCCCAGCACGCAAACTATATTTCTTATCTTTATGACTTGTAGAATAGGAGCCGCGCAAAATATGCATGACATGTGGCATTGTGTATAAAGAAACTGAAGACGGAACAATATTTTTTTTATATTCAAAATATTAATTTTTCATGCAATCATCTAAAGAACAAACTTTTTACCTTACTTTATTGTTATATGATATAATAAACATTTGAATTTTTAAAAATAAAACCATGGTTTATATGATACCTGAATATGTGGATAACAATTATTTTCATATGAAATACCTTTAAGCTAAAAGAAAATGTTGATATCATGTTCAAATCAACACTCGAAGGACAATTCGACTTGATGACTTTAAGTTTTCACTGTCTAGTGTTTTATGTTCATTGTAGCAAAACTGATTATTTTATTATAATTGCAACTAAAAAACATCAGAATGGATCTTGTTATGTTTTACAAGTCAATGGTTCATGTTTTTATCGAATTTTAAACACCATTTTCTTCTCTAAATGGCTCAATTTTCAATGACCTATTTGTAGTTGGGATGATAAATTTCAGTTGATGGTACTTTTTATCGTTATTTCTATTTTAAGAAGACTGATTTATATCGTTGAGAATAGACTTGAGATGAATTTGTTGATACACTAAATGTATATATATTTTTTAATAAAATCAAGAAGTTATCATGCAAAAGAGCCACACACCAGGCAGACAACAGAAACTTTGTGTAGCGTCTCATTTCCTATGTTAGCCTTAGCTGACTAATATTCTTATCATTGAAACCTAATTTTCGCCCTTTACATCGCCTATGCCATTGTTTATTCATCCTATTCACCGGAAGAATGTAGATTACAGGCCAGCTATCCGCTATAACCAAAGCAAATTAAGCAAATATATCTTCTTATCTTTGCTCCATCAGCATTCTCTGGAAACACGATTATGTCAACCTTTTACAACAACTTTAGCTTTGTGACCTGCTAAAAGACTAAAAGATGAAGTGACAAACATATCATTTTTTTAACATACACCATTTAAGCTGTTCTAACATATTTTTCAATTTTAAAAAAGTTAGTTAAAATCTGTTTAAATCTAACATATAAAATGTCTTTAGCTTAAAGCTTCTGACAACAAAAAGTGTGATTGTCTTGAACAATATCTTGGGGGGTAACTGTGGGTTTTGTAAACGATATTTGGATACATTTCTGTGACTTTGCCACAAGGCATTTCCTTTTATAGAACAATTTTGAAAACATATGATTCATTCTAGATATCTTATTGATTGAGGCACATTATAGCTTATCGACTTCAATTCTTAAATAGCTTTGAATGTATGTAGATCTTAGTATCTGCTATTGCGTTGGCATTCAGAAACAATTATATACATTTCCCTGGAAGTCAAATCGTGTCTTATAAAACTTTCTTGTAAATGAATCATATTCTTGTTCCTTTTGCACTGAAGTACTGGGTTTCTCTGAATTTTTATACCAAAGAATTAAGGTCGAGGTGCTACCACGTCGTATTTTCCACGTGCTGATTAATCGAAAGAAAATTATGGCAACAGAACAAAAAAGAATATATTGAGATCTTTGACGTTTAATCTTATCAATCTCAATCTCATTGAAGTCAAAATATTATAATTTATAATATAAATCATGCGTTAATAATTTCATAAGAATAGATCAAGATATATGGATATTGAAACTGTCAAATGCATGTACATTGTAATTCCCTTCAAAATGTTGTATCGGCTGGTTATGAATATGTTTCCGCAACTATTCCCAACTGAATTTATTTCAATTGCTGTGTAAGAAAGTCATTGAGCAAATGCTAAAAATATCTCCAGACATATTTGTTTTTCTTTGATTAATAAAACCTGCTGAGTCCCTGAATATATGAAACCGTTTGAAGAGGCAAATAATTGAAGTATTTTTCAATAAATTGACCATCAGCTGTCTTTTGATTACAGAGGACATGTAGATCTAATAGAAGTTTTACCTGACGACGAATCTATCAAATTTTATTGTCAATAATTACATTCCTATTAATATTGTGTGTCACTCAATCAATAGATGTGTCCTTAAGCTTCAAGTCGCACTTTTGTGGTATCTGTTTAAAATACAGATAAAATTGTGTGGAATATCCTAGCAATGTTTAATTATTTTTTTAATCTGTCGCAGTACTTGAAGTTGGTTTTCGAAGTTTATGTTGAGTATTTTTGGTATTTGTACATTGTTCATATATACGTTTGATATAAGTCTCTTGCACTCGTAATCTGGAAATAGCAAGTTGCCATTTCAACTCAGGAGGAGATCGTTGCTTTTAAATTCACTCTCTAGAGGAATCCGCTATAAAACCATATAAAATTATATTCCATTATTAATACTTAAAAGCAAACTAAATTAGCAGACCAGACATAAACTATAGACGAAGTCAGTTGGATGAGGCTAGATGTCTTTAAGTCTATGATATATTCTTTAATTAGAAACTAGCCTCTCAATTAAGTAAATTTGATCATCTAAAATGTTCTTTGGTGGAAGTTTTCGTCTAGTCTAGGAGGTTCTATAGAATTTTTAATTTTTCATTCTTCGCGAATAATCTATCTCAATCATTAAGACTGTCCAATAATTTCAAATCTGTTTTACTCCATTACACCTCGTCTGTCATTTCTAACTATTTGTACTACTGTCAACTTCCTTCTGCCCCTGGCGATACCATTATATTGAAATCGATACCATGTAACACGATCAGTTTGTGTGTCTTTATACCCCATTCACACTGCCGGGTCTATCCTGGGTATACCAATTATATCACAGAATATTGCAACTGGATATATATACATTCCATAAGCAGAAAACAAAAGTATGTACATTTCAAACTGACAGGCATGTACCGGATATACGTTATCATAAGAACACCATAAGAATTAATGCGTTAAATGTTAAAGCGTTGTAAAGTATGCAACGTTCTTTGATTACGTTAAAGAAAATAGTGACCGTGGTGT